CTTCCGAGTTACAATCTACTCGCCACAGGCGAGTAGATTGTATAATTTGTCGAGCCCTGGTCATTAATCTTAACAATCCTCGGTCCACTGCTTGGAGGATAAGTCTGGCTGAGCTCATCTTTAGACCATATTGCCCAAGATCAAAGTGGGCTCAGGGTTGTAAATCCTCTATCCGGATACAGTTTTCTGTCACGCTAGCAGTTTTCTTCCAACAAATCATGGCTCTCACTCCTGCTGCAGTGGATGTGGGTACACCTGATGGTCTCTTCTGTGACGGCTTTGGGTTTTCCTAAGCAGGCGGCTGCAGAGGTGGTGTGGCTTGCACCAGGCCATGTCTGGGAATGGAGGAGAAGAGTCAGGGAAAAGGTTGGGTCCAAGCCATGGCTGTATAAATTCATTTTAGTTGGTCGCTAAAAATTGACCTGGTTTGTTGGGTGGGGAAGTGTAAAGAGCTGCTCTAGTTCAACCACAAATTATTGAGCAAGCTGCACGACTTCCTGGTTGGGATTCTCTGGCTGATGTTGGGTAGGAGATTGGACTAGATAATCAACGTGGTCCTGTCTGGCCTTAAAAATCTATGAAACGTAGGTGAGTACAGTTTGCCAAACGGATCATTCCACATTCTACAGACCCTGTTTGAGGAGGGAGCCCTTTCTAGTATCCAGCCTTTGAAAATGGTGCCTCTCCACTGTGTAGTGTCATCTTGTGTCTCCTATAATGCATGCACTGTGCTACTGCAGAGTTCAACTCCCCTTGCTGTCCGTGTTGTTGTCTTTCCAGTGGGGCGGGGATCTTCAAACTGAGCATGAGAAGTACCTGGTGAAGCACTGCGGCGAGGTTCCTGTGTTTGTGATAAACTACCCATACGAACTCAAACCTTTCTATATGCGGGATAATGAGGATGGACCTCAACACACAGTAAGTCCATGTGCCTCTTCATCCTTTTTGATTACTTGCCCTGTCCTCTCATATCCTCCTGTTAATAGATTATCATCCTTCTGGCCCCCAGTCAAGAAGCAGGAGATAATGTGTGTCAATCAATTGTAACACTTAAGTCACAATCCAGACCCTTTCCTTCTTTTCTAGAGAGATCCAGAGCAGGAGAAAAGATTGACAAGTCTGTGTCTTTGGAAGGCAGCCAGTTAGGTTTGCTGTAGTCAGTTTCTTTTTAAGGGAAGTTCAAACATAAAATAAGGTAACACACTTTCTTAAGGGGAGTGCCAGTAGAATTCCATGGCATTGTTCTCCCTCCTTCCCATCTCAGTCTGTGGATATTTTATCCTCCTGCCAACAGGTGGGGAGGGTTCTACTTTCTTCATGGGTCCCTGTGCTATGTGACTCCAGACACTCTGTTTGGAGGGATTCCTCTGTTCCTTCAACAGTTCGGGCATATCTGCATTAGCCTGCCTCCGCACAGCTTGATCTGGGGTTCTTTATACACCTTGGGGTGTGGCCGCACTCTGACTTACACCAAAATAACTTGATCACTTTCAGTTCACACAGTTTGTTGTTTTGAGGCAGACCCTTTTATTTCAGAACCAAAGGGCCTACTTTGATTTGATTTTGATATCCATCTGGTATTTTTTTACCCTTGCTGGCTGCTGTATTTAGTGACCCTATCTCTATGCAAAATGCATTCCGCAAGTGTGAGGTAGTGAAATAAAACATTTGCTGCTGCTGTAAACAGTCATAGCTGGAGGAGCTCTTATGGAGTGTGTATATATTTACATAAGTGATATCCTAGACTCAACAAAGGAATCTTGAGTTGCTGTTTTAGTGGCTGGATGGGAGATCCCTACCCACTGGGGAAGAGGGAACAGCATTGAGAGAGGGTCTGTGAGATCCTCTGTTGTATTCCGTGTTTCTTCAGGGGCTTGTCTGCGCTACACCAGGGATCTACACTGCAGTGATTAATCCACTGTCCGTTGATTTATTGTGTCTGGTTAGATGTGATAAATGGATCTCCGAGCGCTCTCTTGTTGACGCCGGTACTCCATAAGGATGAGAAGAGTAACCGGCATCAACAGGAGAGCAGCCCCACCAACCTTACCTGCACGCAAGATGCCACAGTAAGTACGTCAGCTTCAGCTACGCTATTTGCATAGCTGAACTCACGGAGTTTACATCAATGGTAGGAGTTAGTATATACAGGGCCTCAGTGTGCTTCTTTGTCCCCCTACTAACTGGAGCACAGGAGTTCATGAGTCTGCTACAGTCTTTAGCTAACAGAACTAGGTTTTTAAGCTGAGGCAGTCACAGTTCCTCCTGCTTCCAATGACCAAGCCGGAGTATGTTTTCACTGGATACGGTAGGTGTAATTTCCAGCTTGAGGAGACATACACACTCTAGCTTTGATCAAATTAGCACTTGTAGAAATGTAGCCATCCTGACTACATGATTTCAGACAGGCTCATACTCAGGGTGGGTAGCTGCTTGTGTTGTTATGGTTACCCTTTTATTTGTTAGCTCACTAGCTCAATCAGAATTAGTGCGGGTATGTCGTCTTGCTCTGGAAATTACACCATCACTCCAGTGTAGACATGCCCTAAGATTCCTGAATTGTTGTACACCATATAAGCTGTGCCATCTGTTCTCTTGTGCCAGTTGCTAGAATGCCTAGTTGCCAATGAGTTAGATCATTATCAAGATACTTGCATAGGCTCCAGCTCCATAGGACCCAATACCTCACAGACAGGAATGAATTTCTCCTCCCTGCAGCACTGGTGTTACTCTTAGACTGCACAGCTAAATGGCATGACTCGGTTTATACTTCTCCCATCAGGTTGCGGCTGTTGACCTTCTGGTACCAGGAATTGGGGAGCTATGTGGTGGCAGCCTGAGGGAGGAGCGACTGGATTTTCTACAGTCACGCTTAGAGAGGTATGGAGAAACCCTATGGCTTATTTATTAGCAGTAGCGAAAGAACACTGTCAGAAGCCACTGGAGTTTGCTGAGGAGAAGAGTAGATGTAAAGACAATAGATGTTCCTTTAAATGGTCATGTTTATTGGCTTTGAAGGGTCTGTAAATCAGCTGTTTATTGGGCAATCAAAATATTACTATATCCCCACATAATGACTTGATTCTAGGGCAATGTACCTCTTCGTGTCAGCTCACTACAGAAAAATGGTGCATATTACTTCGAGAGAATCTCTTGCTATCACAAGGGCTCCAAAGGGACGATCTGTAATTGTGTCTGGCCTCTCTCCTGAGGCCTTGCCCCCCACTCGCCAATATGGTATCCATCATTCACCAGCAGTGGATGCTGTAGAGTAAACAGGGCATGGATATCTTTATCAGTGTTATCCAGCCCTAAGGAACTGCACTGTTGCAAATTACAGCTATGCGCTTTGCTAGTGTAGATGCAGCCTCCATGCTTTCATTTCAGAAAATGTTGTTCTGTGCTAAGGGATGCTGATAAGTTAATTGGGTAGTGGAACCCAGGCTGGTTTGTCTCAGATCTGTGCTCTTTGCCTGCACCCCACCCCACTTCCTGGCTGGTAGAAGTCTGTGTGATTTCAGGGTGCTTTGAAGTCAGCCTGAAGCAGCACAGTCTCCAGTTATCAAAGCTGGCATCCAGGTTGCAATCCTGTCACTCTGCAGGGGGAAAATCCTCTTTATGGGGTTAAACTCAGATCCTCCCTCTGTTTTCAGTGAGCCCTTCACTGAATTCAGTCCTTCCCCTGTAGGCCAGACACATGCAGGAGGTGTTTTTGGAGAATGATGAAATCGCGTTGGAGTATTGGTTGCATTTGGCGAATGCGTTTTCTACTTAGAGCAGACACCTATTCAGCTGACACATGGCTAGTTAATGAAGCACAGTGAAGCCATCTTCAGTAACAAACCTAAGAAGGGCACGGATAGTCTTTAAAGGGTGGGGTCTTCCATTTCAGCAGAGAGTAAGACCAAAACTGTTTGATTTGAAAAGCAGAGAAATAAGAGGTTCTACAACAGAATTGCATAAATCAATGAAAAATTAGTCTTTGATGGGCTTAAAGTCCAGTTCTGCTCTGAGCAACTATGTAAAAATGGTATCTTTTTACTCTCTGGAGCACTTCCTTTGGAGAATTCAGGGTTAGATCTTCTGAGTAAAGACTTTTTCATTGGCCTTATCTCATGGTTAGCCCTGAAGAGTGATGGTGACCAAGAGAGAGTTGGATTTTATAATACAACTGTGTAAAGAAACTATGGTTCCGATTCAACAAAGACTTGCACATATGCTAAACTTCATTCACATGGTTATCCAAGTTGAAGTCAGTAGGACTATTCATATGTGTTAGATGAAGTGTGTAGGCAAGTCTTTGCAGGATTGGGCCTTACTGCATTAGGATTGGTACCATGCCTTTAAGAAATAAACAGTACATTTAAGAAGAGCATTATAAACCTGTTTAATCCCACCCAAAAATTAAAAAACTTTTAAAATTAAAAAACTTCTGCTATTGATTAGGCTTCTTTCTTCTCTTCTTCTTTTTGTATTAATTAGTAATGTCATCTCTTCTTATTCTGGGTACTTTCATGCAGTAAACTGTTAGCAGAGCCCACAGCTTATATGAATCTGCTCTGCTGATTTACTAACTCCTATTTCTTTATTCCACAGATTAGGACTTGCAGATACCTACCAATGGTAAGATTATAGTTTGGTCTACAACCATTATCTGTTCTCCTGCTACTGTTAGGAAAGAAGCTTTTTCTTTGGGGTCCTCAGGAAGTTACATCTGGTTATAGTGACGTGGCCTATATGAATAAAGCTTAACTGCGTGTTGTTTGAAGTTTATCTATCCTCTGACTTGTTTAGTTCCAGCTGGAGTTGCACAACATGGATTAACCTGCTACTCATCAACAATTTTTAATATTAGATTGTTAAACTGTATGCAAAACCTATGATGTTACTGAAAATTTGGAGATGCTGTGGCATGAGATAAATAGATACCACACAGCGAATTGTGATCAGTAGGGGCCATATGAACAGCTCCACTTGGCAGAGTGATGAGGCCAAAATACCTTTCCAACAGAATAGTTGAAATAATTAC